CTGCCCTCGAACAGCGCGCCCCAACCCCAGTTGGACGCGTCTGTCGAAATGACTTTTCGATAAGAGATGTTTCCCATCATCACTCCCTGCTGGTACCAGTCGGCCACTAACCAGGGCTGCAGAGCCGCTATGCAGGTCTGAGTCACTCTGATTTTCTGGCCGCCAGAAACCCAAGCTCGGCAGGACGCGCGAGCATTCAACCAGCGTTGGAGCGGGCGCATGCGCAGTAGGCCCAGCTGAAGCACCGCTGCAGCTGATGCCATACAGCCCAACATCCTTTGAAATGTTTTAAAAGGTAGAAAGCTGCCCTTCTGGAAAGACGCGGCTAGGTGGCGAACACGGCGCGCGCACTGTGTCGATAAACGAGCCGACATGGTCACCGAGTCCAGTTCTATTCCTAAAAAGGAAATTGACTGGCTGGGCAGTAATGAGCTCTTGGTCCAGTTGACCGTGAGACCCAAGCTTTCCAGGTGACTGAGAAGCACTGTTCTGTGAGATAGTAGCTCTGTCTCTGACTGTGCCAAAATCAGCCAATCGTCCAGATAGTTCATTATTCGCAGCCCCTGACTTCTCAGGGGGGCGAGCGCCGCGTCCATGCACTTCGTAAACGTACGGGGTGCTAGAGACAGGCCGCACGGCAGGACGGTGTATTGATATACCTGACCGTCGAAGGCGAATCTCAAAAATTGCCTGTGACGGGGTATTATCTGAATCTGAAAATAGGCATCCTTCAGATCTAGAGAAATAAACCAGTCCCTCGGGCGAACGTGCGCGAAGATTTTCCTGGTCGTAAGCATTTTGAACGGTCTTTTCGCAAGCACCTTGTTCAAAAGTCTCAGATCTAGGATAGGTCTGAAGGCTCCGTCCTTCTTGGGTACGAGAAAATAACGGCTGTAAAAGCCTGACTCGCTCAGAGAAGGTGGTACCTTTTCTATAGCCCCTTTGCACAGCAGCTTCGCTATTTCCGCGTGAAGTAGGTGTGCATTCACTATTGTCGCGGTCCGGGCTCGAAAGCGTGGGGGACGGCGAATGAATTGAAGTGTATAGCCCTGCTTTATTGTGCTCAGCACCCATTCTAAAATCCCTGAGATATTTTCCCACGCAGCTATGTGAGCCGCTAGGGGGCGAATGGCCTCTGGGTTCAGATCGCCGCCATTTGCGGGCTTGTGAAACTGAACCGGAGCCGAAAGCGCGGCGCTCGCGCTCTCGGTTCTGGGCAACGGCTGCTCGCTGAAAACCGAAACCGGCTGATTTATGTGAGATGTCCCAATCATAAGGGATGGGGAACCTTTTCTCCTCACTTTTTGACGCGCGAGCGGCGCTTTGGGCGGAAAAGCGTCCTGTAAGCGTGCGCGGGCACGAGACTTACAAGTGTATTTGACGTCCCGATCAAAATGGATGGGGAGCGTCTTATTAATGCCCTGCATTTTGTGATAACACTTAAACGCGCGGGCGGCGCCCGGGGGGAGGTTTGTGTTAGTAAGCGTGAACGTTCTCTGGCGGGCACGAGACTTACATTCATAACCTGCTTTCTTGACCGTGTAACAGAGCGGGCAGATAGTGGGCACAGACCTCTGGACATATTTCTTATATTCAACACTCGAGCGGCTTTTCTGCGCTTTATGAGAGTGTGCTCTGTGAGTGACACGATATTTGAAGTGCTTGTGTGTAGGGGTGAACACTGGGGCGTGGGCACTTTCACTACACTTAAAACACTGACGGCGTGAGCCGGACCAGACATAATGCTCTTTTTGAGATTTCTCTGGGTCGCCGAGAAAACGGCGTTTGTGTGCAGGCGAGAGGGTGGACAAACCGGCTCGTTGGCTGCTAAATGAACCACTGCAGTAGCCTGTTTGAAGGGGACTGACAGGGAAATAAACTGTGACGGCGGTCCGGCCGCAGCGGGACACGCACGTCTTTTCTCTCTCTTTGTTAGGAGGACTTCGCGTGCTCAGACTTCAGCGTGATCTTCTGCCGAGGCCCTCTGGGGGGCGGCGGTCTGTGACGGCTGTCTGAGCGCGACCTAGGGCGGCCGCCCTGACGTCGCTGCGAAGGCTGAGGCTGTGCTGGACGCTGGGTGCTAGCTCGTACAGGAGGCTGGCTTTGTTTCTCGCGAGAGCGGCCTGTAGCGGAGCTCGAGCGTCGCGGCAGGAAGAGGTTCATGGCCTGCGTGGTCTTTTGTACCTCAGAGAAACGGTCAACAATCCCGTTTACCGCCTGGCCGAAGAGACCAGTGGGGGAGAGCGGCGCGTTCAGGAAGGTGGCTCGCTCAGTTTCCCTCATATCCGCGAGCGTCAACCAGAGGTGCCTCTCTGTTACAGTCAACGCGGCCATGGCTCGTCCGATGGCTTGAGCTGCGGTCTTGGCGGCGCGGAGAGAGAGATCCGTCGCGCTTCTCAGATCTTTAACCGCAGCTGGATCCCGGCCCTTCTCATCACATTCACGGAGGAGGTCGGCTTGCAGGATCTGTAGCAAAGCCATGGAGTGGAGAGCAGACGCGGCCTGGCCGGAGGCGGCATATGCGCGGCCGACCAAGGCGGACGTGGCTCTGCAGGCTTTCGACGGGAGGACTGACCGTGACCGCCATCTCGAGGAGGGCGGGCAAAGGTGCGCTGCGACCGCCTCTTCCACAGGGGGAATAGCCGTGTACCCTTTCTCGGCGGCGCCGTCCACTTGGGAGAGCGACGCGGAGGCCTGGGACTGAAGTCTCGAGGAGAATGGTGCATTCCATGACTTCGTCAGCTCCATGTAAAGTTCCGGCAGGAATGGAAGGAGCTGTCGAGCCTGTTCGGCACGGGTTCCTTCGGCAGCGACCACTCGAGCCCGAGACGGTCGACAGCCTGCGTAAGCAGGCGCATTAGTTCCGCGTCAGCTCCAGCGCGGGAACGGCTGGATTCCTGGATCGACGAGGAGGCGGAGTGAAGCGACCATTCCTCGCTGTCCGATGCCAGGATGGAGCAGCAGTCTCTCGTGGCATGTTCCTCGGCCTCATCCTCAGACGTGACGGCAGTGAGGCTCGTGAGCGGCAGCTTCGCGTCGGGGAGGGGAGGCGGGGAAGGCGAAAGCGGGGCTCGAGGGAGGTTCTCCGGCGAGCGCGTCGCTGTGGCCACGGGCTCCGGCTGTCTCAGGGAATGGCGCTTCTTCCTGCGTGGTCCCACAGAGGGCGGAGTGGCTGCATCGGGGTTGAAAGCTTCGAGTCGAGCCCGCAGGGTCGACAGCGGAAGCGCCTTCGCAGAGCTCGCAGCCCCCGGACATTGGAGACCATGTGATCTGCACTCTCTGCCTGGGCCTGGAACATGGCCCAGGCAGAGAGTGCAGATCACATGGTCTCCAACGCTGAGCGGGGCTCTGCACGAGCCGCAGGAAGTGCGAGGCATCTTTAAAAAGACGCTCGCGCTCTTTTAGAATAGAATAGAGTTTGCAAGGTAAAAGGATACGTCGCCGGATAGCGTAGCTCGCACGGATGGCTGAAGGTGGCATCCTCAGCGCTGTCCTAAGCTGGCTGGTCGCTGTTCGACGGCGGTGATGGCTTCTCTCAGGTCCAGCGATGCGAAGGGCTCACTGAAGAGTCGAAAAATTAGGGAAGTCAGCCTACAGCCCCTACTTTTATACGCTAAGCCACGCCCATTCTGGGCGGGCGCCCTTCATTGGGCGTGACGTCATGCGGGGCTCACTGGTAGGTTGCAGCAGATGCCCGCAGGGCAGCCAATGAGCAGGCGAGGTGGCCTGCTCTAGGTCTGCTAGCTGCTGCACTGCGTTGACAATGAATACAAAATTAAGAATAATTTTTTGGCTTCAATATCTCGAGAAGATGAATCTTTCCCGTAGCGTAAGCTAAACTTACGCAATACGAGAGAACCTCTCGTAAGAGAACTTCAGGGTTCTAGCAGGTTAAAGTTGCGTTCGTTACTATAGCAATGTATATAGGCTGTAGTCATACTAAATATATATGCCTATATATTATACTGTAGTTTAAAGTCACTGGTCAGTAAAAAAGTAAAAATGGTAGCCCTTTACTTAAAGTGAAAATAAGATTTTCATATCATGAAGAGGTGTGTAATTAAATGTTTGGTATAAATAAATATAGTTATTTAGAATAGTTATTAAGATATCTATTTATCTAGGCCATCTAGGCCATCTATCTAGGCTATCTATCTAGGCCATCTATCTAGGCTATCAATCGTGTCGTTGTTATGTTCAGTAACTTGTGGTTTTATGACATAGAATGGATTTCCTCGAAGTGACGCCCCTAAACATGATGCGAAACTAAAGGAACTGTGATTGGTTGCGTTACATGTCGGTCAAACATCCTCTTGGGTGGACAAACGACCCATTTACTCAAAAACTATGTACTGATAAATGAGTAATTTTCACCGTCACTTTTGTGCACGAAGTATTGGAGTCTATGTGTTCGGTTGGGTACCTCATTATATTGTGTATATTTAGTCTTACATAGTGTAACAAAATCTACTGTGTTTTTTACTTACATTTTAAAGTAAACCTGTGATTTAAACACATGGCTTATTTCAGTGCTACATTGTTTGAGTAAATTACAAACAAAGAGAGAGTGAAATGTACTTACTAGTGAAAGTACAGAGTATTGTAAAGTAAACTTCAAATGAGTAAGTAGAAATTACTCCAAAAACTAACTGGCCAAGTTAGTTTGTAAATTAGTCTTTGTTCATTTGACCTAACTTAATTCCATACATGTGGCATTTACTTAAAAAATATGAGTGCAAATAGAATTTTTTTCAGTGAAGAACTTGACCTTGAATACTGGTACACTCGCATGCAAACAGGAACTCAAGACACGCACACAAATATGAACATTTGACCTCTCTTAATTGTTGTTATAAATCTATAATATGCCAGAAATGGTAAAGTTTGATCTTTGCCCAGGACACCCAGAAGTTATTGCCTGATATTATGTGTATAAATATGACCCATCTTCATTCAATAGATATGAGAATCTTGTTACACCGGCTCTGGCTCTTCACAAAATCTTCCTCCGAGACTCTGAAGGCAACAATTTAAAAACCAAAGTGAGTTCTGAATAAATGTTCTACCTGAAGTATTTTTGTGCTTTGTCTGAATTTGTCTGAAATGCATTGAGAATCGCAGTGTGCAGCATATGAGTGCATGCAGACATTTCACTTTTCCTGCTTATTCATTTCAGGTTCATCATGTCAGTAATCATCATTATCAGACGCATGGGGGATACAGAAGGTAACCAAGACATTTATTTGTAAAAACCCTTGCTATTTAAAAACATTTTGACAATATTCCATTGACTATTTACATGATTAATAAGGGGTTTACAGTGTATAAAGTATACACATGTTTTCAGAACATAATCACAAAAACATAAAATAAGCTACATAAATAAATATTAAAACTTTCTTTGCAGTGAATGATACAAGAAATGATGCAGTTGATTTAGACAGAAAATGCCCCGCTACATGGATGAAACTTGGACTCCAATGCTACAAGTCCATGCCTGATCCGCCTGACTGGATCACAGCAGAGGTAATGTTACAACAAGATGATTTGATCACACTTTATATTAGGTGTCTTTATCTAAAAGACAGATGTAAAGACATGTACACAATAAATGCATTGACAAATAGTCATTTAAACTGATAAAAATGATTATGTGGTGAAATAAATACTACAGAAAAAAAATTTAATTTCAACATGAAAAAGTTGGTTTAGGCAAGAATTTAAAAAACAGAGTAAATTATATATTAGTACTCAGTTCAAGTGTGTAGAAATTAAACTGTAAATATCAAAGATATAAAATTAAGAAAAAACCTATACTGAACTATTTATTTTGATGTTTTTAAGTACACCATACAGTTAAAAGGTGTGGTTTAATTAATTTATATTGTCTGAGGAAAATGTTAATTAAGTAAGTTAATCAATTAATGTTAAATAAGTTACTTAAGTAGATGTTACATAATTCTATATGTGAAATTAAATAAATTAAATATTATTAAGTAATATTTACTTAATTGCTTCTATTAAATGTTAAGTGTCAAATAAATGTCTTAATAATTTTACATCCAATAGTAAAATAGTAGTACTTGATAATAACAGGTAAGTTGTACAGAGCAGTATCAGTAAAATTTACTTAAAATGTGTTACAAATTGTTACGAGGATTTTATCAAATAAATCCTACAAGTCTATTCTAAGTCATTCTTATAAGGAATGTTATTTTTTATAGTAAAACTTTATTTTCTGCAAGTAAATAGTACAGACAACTGGTACTGAGCAAATAATCAATCAGCAGACTTTGTTTGCAAATGTCTAAAATGTTGTCACTTTTGGTCTATTAAAAAAAATAGATTTTGTATTGACAATAAAAACAAAAATCTGTCTCTTAGAGTCAAAGTCTTGGTGCGAATCTCGCATCTGTGCATAATAAACTGGAAAATTATTTCCTGCTGAGTCTATTGCCGCTTTCTTCCACACATTATTGGATTGGTGCTCATGATGCTGTACAAGTTCAACTGTGTGTCCTAAAGAGACCTATTTGTTTGTCTAAACTAAAATTTCTTCTTTAAACAGTAAAGGCAAAGTTTGAAGATGTTTTGACTTAAAATCTGAACTTAATTTGCTTCTTCCTGAAGTCTGACAACAGTAGTGCACTCTTTTATTCCCTCTCTTCACTCTTTAGGATGGACAGTGGTTGTGGAGTGATGAAACTGTGTTTTTGTAAACCCACTCGCGCGCTGGAGAATCAATTACCTGCGTGCCGAGAACTGTTTGGAGATCACCCGTAAGAATACAATCTGATTTTTTAATATTTCCAGTTATAATTTACAATCCAATTTCACATCATACAGTAACATGAAATTACTCATTTGGATTTCACAAAGTGCCTTAAGTTGAACGATCTATTGGATTTTGATTCTAATAACACTAATGATCAGAATAACTCATTTCATTATTCCACCTTACAGCTGACCATTGCTGGAACGACAGGCCCTGTTCATACTCAACACCCTATATTTGTGTTAGGACCTGTGAGGCCGTCATCCTGCTCCACAATTACTTTGATTGAACTACATTTTTCCAATATTACAAAAATGTTATTCTGAAATCAAATCTCTTCTAAACTTTAATCTCTCTTCTCTGAAACACTCAAATTAATAAAAGCATTGAAAAAGCAAATTGTGCATTGTGGACTATCAAATTCATGCGTGTGACAATATAAGTAGGCTATATTGTGTAGGTAGCAAGGTTTGAGGATATGGTTATTAGAATTGCATGTTGTTTTCTGTCTTATAAAACATCCCATTATTTCGGAGTGAGAAACCTCTGCAAACAAATGCTGTTTGAATGAATCAAACTGAATCATGAACAATTTCAGATCATTTTCTTAAACGGTTTAATTAGATAAATAGTGATTCATTCACTATTCTGGCATTGCTAAACAGAAAACACAAAGGACATGAGCATAAAAAATATTCTAGAGATGAACGTAATCTCCAATATCAGAGAAGGATTAATCAGCAATATTTTACTGGGGCACAGTGTGAATTTTAAAAAAGGGTCCAGCGACATCCCCAGATCTATATGGTATCACACATTTTTAAAACGATGAAAATCATATTAATTCAGCAATCTGCATCAAAATGGTGTCAAAAGGCTTCACATACTTCATTTTATTTGTACAGTCATCAGTTAATTTGACACTTTTACACAATTATTTCACCAATTTATTGTCTTCAAAAATGTGGGTGATTTCAGTGAGCAAACTACATGCAGTGAGTTACTACATGCAGGTGAATCAGTGAATCGATTCTTGGATCGAAAAACATGTTCGTTCACGAACCAAATAATTGGCGTCAGCATGCCAACTATGGCAAGCAAATTAACATTTAATCATTTAAACCTACTAGTCTCTATTTTCATGCTACTAGTACTTATTTTTTATAGTATCTATTCCATTATTCATTAGCTACTAGTGCTTATTCTTTATCTTTTTAAAGATAGTTGTACTTATTCATTAGATACTTGTCCTTGTTTATTAGATACTAGTGCTTGTTCATTAGTTAGTCCTTAATGATTAGATACTAGTACATTAACATTATTTATCCAAAGCGACTTACAACTGAGGACTAAACCAAGCGAGTCATCGTGAAGAGGCAAAAACAACGCAAGAAGTGCTCAAAATACAAAGTTCAGACATTGCTCGGAGTAGCATAAGCCAGATAAGCAAAGGTTTTAGAGGAAAAGGAAAGTTTTTTATTTTTATTTTTTATGTTAAGTGCTCACGGAAGAGATGAGTTTTCAGTTGTCTTTTGAATGCTGGTGGTCCAAGGAGTGGTCCAAGAACTGAACCCTGGGGAACCCCTGTGGTCAGTTGATGTGCTTTGGATACCTCACCTCTCCATGTGACCCTGAAGGACCTACCTGTGAGATAGGACTCAAACCAGTGGAGAGTAGTACCTGTGATGCCCAGTGATGAGAGGGTGGACAGAAGGATCTGATGATTCACAGTGTCGAATGCAGCAGACAGATCCAGGAGGATGAGGACTGATGATTTGGAAGCAGCTTTTGCGATCCGCAGGGCTTCGGTGACCGACAGCAATGCAGTCTTGGTTGAATGCCCTTTCTTGAAGCCTGATTGGTTGAAATCCAGCTGGTTGTTCAGAGACAGGAAGATGATACTTGGTTGAAAGCAACTCGTTCAAGTGTTTTCGCAATTAATGATTGAGAGAGACAGGTCTGTAGTTCACTAAGAGTGATGTGTTTAGCGTTGATTTTTTAAGCAGTGGAGTAACCCGAACCTGCTTAAATGCTGTAGGGAAAATGCCAATGTGGAGGGATGAGATGATGATGTGTGTGAGAGCTGGAAGAAGTGTGGGAGAGATGGCTTGTAGAATGTGTGAGGGGATGGGGTCTAGAGGGCAGGTGGTAGGATGACTGGAGAGGAGAAGCTTAGATACTTCTTCCTCGGTTAGTGGAGTGAAGGAGGAGAGAAGGTTGTTGGCTGTGGGAGAGGTTAGTCTGGGTTCCTGTGTGAGTGAAGCTGAGAACTGACTGCTGATAGTTGTAGTTTTGTTAGTGAAGAAGTTAGAGAAGAAGAAATCATCAGCAGTTAGCGAGGAGGTGGGTGGTGGTGGAGGTGGACAGAGGAGAGTGTTGAATGTCTTGAACAGTGAACGTGTGTTAGAGGCGCTGTTGGGAATATGAAGATTTCGCAGCATGAACATCAACAGAGAAGGCAGAGAGCAGAGATTGATACCTACTGAGGTCAGATGTGACTTTTGATTTGCACCATTTCCTCTCCGCTGCCCTGAGTTCAGTCCGGTGTTCACGAAGAACCTCAGATAACCAGGGGTTGGAGGTAGTAACGCGTGCTGGTCTGGAGGAGAGAGGCCAGATGTTGTCTAAAGAAGAGGTTAGAATGGAGCATAAAGTATCCCTTGCAGTATTCACATCCAGAGATGAGAAATGCGAGGGTGAGGGAAGAGAAGATGACACAGCAGAGGAAAGATGGGACGGAGAAAGTGCGCGCAGGTTTCGCCTGAAAGTAACTGGTAGAGGAGTTGGTGGTGCGTGGGTAGTAAGTTGTAGATTGAAGGTAATGAGAAAATGGTCTGAGACGTTGAGAGGTTTCACTAAGATATTGTCTGTGATGCAGTTGCGTGTGTAGACCAGGTCCAGTTGGTTGCCTGACTTGTGAGTACCTGTGGTGATAAGCCGTTCAAACTGAAGAGGGCAGCACTCAGACGTTTTTACACCATATATTGTAGAATTAAAATACTATACCCAAATGTCAAAAAAGTTACTCGAATCAATGATCAGCACTAATAAAGCCCCATTTATACAGATCATTAACTAAAAAAAGTTGTTTTTTAGAGTTTAGTTACCCTTTAAAATACAGAAGCACGGGAACACAGGATATTATACGTTTGGAAGAACATGACAGCTATTAAATTATTCATTGTCAACAACCCAAAGTAAGAACTTAGACTGTTTTATGCTCTTCATTTGATTAAAAATGAATGTTTGGGTAGGCTACTGGATGCCGTGATGGTCACGTGACGTTATCTTCGCAACATCGAAGTTAATATCTGCGTCTTTGAGCGGGACCCATTTTTACTTATCAGTGTGTAAACAGTTTCTGTAACGATCACCAGCTGGAGTGCCCTCGAGAGCCACCAGAGGGCGCTCCACAATAGACTTTGATCACTTCTTCACTAACTACATTTCCCATCACTCACTGCCCGGATTCATCGTGGCGAAGTTTTCTGTCACGCACCTGCTCTGAGACATGGGGTGAGATCCAAACGCAGCTTTATTTGTGGGCAATCCAAAGGCGTAATCCAAAGTACAGGCAATGGGTCAAAACACAGGTAGGCAGTCCAAACAAAGAAACAAACAAACAAACAAAACAGGGAGGGACCAGAGGCAAAAGAGTAATCCAGGAAACAGGGCAAGAAATCCAAAAACCAAAATACATGAAACCAGGTAAACGCTCAGAGATGCAGTGGGACACAAACAAAACTTCACAATGAGTGAGTGAATGAACATGGAATAAATAGACAGGGACTAACAGGGTGATGAGAAACAGGTGAATGCAATCAGAGACCAACCAGGTGATGAGACACAGGTGAATGAGATGATGAATGCTGATGAATCCGGGCAGTGAGTGATGGGAAATGTAGTTAGTGAGGAAGTGATCAAAGTCTATTGTGGAGGGCCCTCTGGTGGCTCTCGAGGGCACTCCAGCTGGTGATCGTTACAGTTTCAGTCCTGTGTTCCAGAGTCCTAAAATAATGTGTTGTTGATGAGACGTGCTATTATTTTCACTGACCATGACTTATGATTTTCACCTGAATGAAGATGATGAATCAGGTGAAAAGTCCCTCAGATACACATTGAAGGAGGGAACCGAAACATCAAACCAGAAGATCACAGAGACTGAGAATAACAGAGATGTGGGCACTTTCACTAGTAAACGACTACTCAGAGCACCCTAGGTCACACCCCACAGCACAATGTCACTGCATTTGCTAATAAGGCATATTTATCAAATAGCCTATATATACTTTTATTTAAAAACAAGTAGTTTGTATTGGTAATAGGATTCACGCTCCTTCACACTGGTGTTTTGTTCCCTGATTCGTCATCTGCAGGTGCTGGTTACAAAACTGGAACTGGAGCAGGAGTGGAAATCTTGAGCTGTCCTCATAACTGCATCTGGACTTTACCACTATTAAGGACATTTAAGGTTTTCTATCTAATTATAATCTTCATCTCATTTGATACATTTCAACCTTTATGTCTTCTGCTGAACACAAAGGAAAATATTTTGAAGAATGTCAGTAAGAGAGTTGATGAGCCCCATTGACATCAATGCCCCATTGTTGTGGCAAAAATTATTATCCAACCATTATCACTGCGTAAGAGACACTCCGAATCGAACTGTCTTTTAAAAAGTATTTATTCTTGCAAGAAGGACTCAGTCAACACAGAAGTTACACTGTGGCATGAGTGTGTTCTTTTCCCCCATGCACGTTCAAGATAAGACAAATGCTGTTGTACATCTTTCTATTCATCAATAGTTAACACTTAAGACCATAGACATAATAAATACATAGGCGCCCTATTGGCCGCTTTGGAACGTTGCTGCGATACGTCAACGGGTCCGCCATTTTGCGGAGGGCAAGACTGCGCTGTGAACAAATGTAAGTAAACGGGGGAGCTGCGTTTTTTCTGGATAAAAACAAACTGTTTTTACATTTATCAACCGATTTCAGTGGTTTGTATGTGGTGTACAAAAAGTTCCATCTCTAGTTATTTAAAATCTCGATAGTTAGACTTGTAAAATATTTTTTTAATAAAGAATGGTCAATTAAGCTCAGGCTTGTCATGTAGGCCTATCTGGCTTTTTATTCTTGGATAAGAATGGTGAAGACCCCCATACTGAGATATAATTTAAGTTTTCTTATTGTGGAAAAAGCATTTTCTGTGATTGACCAGATTTTAGCAATAACAAAGATAACTGATGGATCCTTTATAATAATACGTTATGGTACAACTACAGTGCAATGCAAATAGTAAATATAACATAAAGTGAGAAGTAATAGTAAATAGTTTAGTCAATAAAATAAACAAATTAGTATACAGCAAATAAAATAGTAATGATTAGTATAATT